AGTTGGTAGGAAGGAGAGAGAGAGAGAGAGAGAGAGGTTTAAAAGGGGGTCACCGACCGTCCCTGGACTTCGAATTTCCTCGATCGATCGATTATCACGGGTGGCGGGTGGCGCGATATAGGTCATCCTTTCCAATCTGCGCGAATTGATTGCTAAAGTAGCTGGAAGGAAACCGGGTAGACGTATTGACGCGGAAGGTAGCCTCGAATGCTCGGTGTTTAGACTCGAGCATTCCATCTTGGAGGAGGGATTAACTCGTTTCCGGGTGAACGCGTGTCAGGGTGTGGCGTGTTCCGGTTTATCTTAATTTTATTATCACTCCAGGAGCGAGTTTTTTTTATTGTATCAGATTTTTCGAATTCTTTCTTCTGTAATAATTCTCTACGGTTCTTCGATTTCGGAGGAATTATGAATGAGCGAAAGTGTGCATATCAAAGTTGAAGAAGAGTTGAAGAAGAACTTGTCTCGATGATGATTGAACGTCGTATTTACGAAAAGAAGATATAGAATCTCGTAAAAAGATACGTGCTATTCTTTCGTACTGCTACTGTTTATTTTTTAAAAACACTCTTTCGTGTGTCCGTAAATATTATTAGTAAGTCAGTGATTTACTATATTCTCAAGTTCTTTGCACGATTTCTTCGTGATTGTATCTGTATAAGAGCAGTATGACTACGATCCAGGCTGGATTCCCTGATAAATCGAGCCCGCGATTCCTTTCCGATTGCTGAAATCGCACATCTCACGAGAAGTGATTCGATGCTAGTTGCTCGACGTGACGAATCGACCAGAAAGAATGCTCGAATAAAGAATGTATAAATAAATTGAACCTCCGTTTACGATTCGAATAAACGCAATAATATCTTCTCGCGAACGAGGCAAACTTTGCTTTCTTTGCATTCGAACGAAGAAAATTGTTGATAGAATCAATTTTGAGAGGAGCCTTTTAATTTTCCCCGCGGAAGATCACAGAATTCGAGATAAGAGAAAAATTTGCGCAGATTAAAAATTGGAGAAAAATTGAATTTTTAACGATCATGAAAGTATGCTCGCCGATCTTGATTACGCTTACGTAATTATCATCCGCACACAGCTGCTAAAGCAGGGATATTTGACCGGTAATGGAACGCCGTGCGTTTGTGTACGTTACCCAGTTTGCGTAACCGAGGAAAATTAGATTAGAAGGAAACTCGAAATATTTCCCTAATTGCCAGACGTACGTGGCTCTTCAGCCGGCGTTCGTAATCAAAGGCGTATCCCTGATTCGTGTCTGACAGAGCATAAGGGGCCGTGCTACTCATATAAGAGGCTTCCACCTTGGAGAGAAGTTTCGTATTGACGATAAACACTGGCTATTAAAG